CTTAGCGCAAGCAGTACTTTCTCCCATTAGTGCACAGGGGGAGGGAGGAGGGAGGAAGAGATGGATACGTCTCATAAACAAAGCTAGCTCCTATTATTCTTTTCTTTCATTAAAATCATATATTTACTGTGTGGCTCAAACATGATACAAACTCCCATTTTTTTTTAAATTTCAATTATACATATATTCCACAAAAATAAGTCTTTTGCCTTCACCGTGTTCCCTGACTCTTAAAAATGCAACTATACCAGGACCACTCCAGAAACCCCTACCACAGCCAATAATTAATGTAAGTCATAACCCAGCAACTAGGAACATAGTTTCACATCTTTCTGATCTTCCACATAATATTTTATCAGTCCCTCTTGGCTCAGAAAAACAAACCCAGCTGCACCCCATCATTAATACCCACAGGGCTCCATCACAAACACCTCCAGCTGTGGCAGGCTGCCAAACTGCTTCACAAATGTTATAAAATAGTGCCCTTCTTGGGAATAAAGAGAACACATGTAGAGAATCACTTTGCAGCCTTCAAGTAACTCCCCCCACCACTTGTTAACATTTGAGAATATAGATTTCTAAAGATACTTTACCCAACACTCACTTCACTAAGACCCATACTTTATGCAAAAAGCAAAGACTAATTTTGCATCTCCAAACACATTAAGTGAAAACAAGCATTTATTATGAAGCCAGAACCAATAATGTGTTTGGTATTAGATTTGCTTACAAGTAGCAACAGCACAAAGAGGAAAGGAAGTTTTCATAACTAAACAACAAACTGTTTATTGTGTGGCTCACTGCAGCCAAGGATGACAAAGCTTCCTGAGCTAGTTATGCTCAGCAGGGCAACATACCAAACACAGCATGACAAATTGGGTCCGGTCATCTCCCTTTGTCCAGTACAATGCTACCACTGATGTTGAGACCTCTCTAAATTTAAAACCAGAGGAGGATTCTCTTCTCCATGCTCTCTCTGCAGAACTAGAACTGCAGACTCCACAATGGGTACCCCAGAAAGATGTATCCTGTAACCTAAGGTTATTTGAGAACATGTCCATAGAAGAGATGAGAGAAACTCAGGTATACTTGCAAGAGCATTTTTACAAGAGAAAAACTCACAAGGGAGACCTTCCAAGTTGACGCATGAAAAATCTTCTCCCAGAAGGGACACGTTACCACTGGGAGAAACTGAGCGAACACTTGTATACTTGTCATTTCTACCAAGAGCATGGTGAATCACCCGGGATAAATGTAATACCTGTACCCGGCCCTAAAAAGGAAGCATCTGTAGCATCTTTACATAGCAATTTAGTAGATTTCTATGCCTGAGGATGATTTCCTGACCACCCATGGTGTTGTCCTACTAAAACCAATTTTGACTGCATCCTTGTGCAGACATGAATTTATCTACTACAGCTACTTTCATGTAACATTTTGGTCTTCATTTATCTTGTTGGGTACTACAAATGAAATACCCCCATGTGTAGGACCAACAAAAGATCTGTGCATCATTTAAGTCCTTCATAAACCCCATTTTAAAATATCTACTAATCCCCTTCAGGAAAGAGAATTTCATCCTAAAAGAACGTAGCATTACTGCTATGGTGCTAAAAACAGCAGCACAAAGGAATCCGAGACCCGATCAGAAAGCAGCTTCACCCTTAGAAAACTACTACAAAGTAAATATTTAGGCTAATGAATCCTTTATAATAAGGGCTGATCAACATAGTCATGCTTCCATCTACAAGCATTGGACATCAATAACTTGATAGGACAAAGAATCTCTTAGCAATATTCAAGCTCATATATATAATTTTGCACAGATTAGAATTTGTGAACTGCCCTGAAAAAGAGAGATGTTTCTGAAAGAGTCCTACATGATACTTTCCCTCCACAGTCCATTTCCTTACAACCTTAATTTTTCAGCAAGGTAAGAGCTTTCTTCAAGGCTGAGTATAAAACATTACAAATA